CATGAGTGGTTAAATGAATGTGTGCGTGTATTGTTTAACCATATCTAGTGGCATTGGGACAGTGACTCTTGAATCTGTAGTTAATTTCAATTTTAAAAAGTCAGTAACTTAACCCTCCCTTTTCTCTAACTCCCGAATATAGTGCAGCATTTCTGCTGTCCTGTGCATTCTTTTCATCAATCTCCAGGAAAAAATGCTAAGCCCTTCATACTTTAGCTCACAAATTATTGAGAAATATTGCATTAATAACTTATGATTCACAAATAATGTCTCCTTGGTGACAGTGATTTATGACCTTATTTTTCAGCTGGGTTTGTTTATAGCGATACAAGAAGTATTAAACTCTAGCATTACTTTCACAGAGGAGGTTGGAAGGAAATTTTGAACCTGGAGAGTTTTTGTCAATATCAATAGAGTGATACTATGGAAAGTGCTCTGTAAATTAAAAAAAAAAATCATTTCACTTATATGAATTCATTATCATCTTTAGATGGCTATACTTTAAAAGTCTTTCATCAGCATACCCCACAATACATATTGTTCTAGTACAGTATGGTCAACATTGAAAGACAATTAAAGTAACTACCCCTACTAAAATTTTGCCCACCATGACTTTGTAAGTAGGGTGAGAGACACAGATATTTCCAGTGGTCTAGGAAGGCGAGTTCTCTGGGCTCTCCTGGCCTATCTCCTTGTGACCCCTCATCCCCCGTTACGGTGCCCCCTCTGGTGGCCAAAGATGAAGAATTATGTTCTGAATCTCATCTAAGAAGTTGTACTCCATGACCATTAGTAGGATGACACTCAAAACAAAATTCTTCATCTTTGGGTTTTAGGGGGCACCCTCAATTTGTACAACACTAACTGTTTATATCTACAGGTGTGTGCCTGGAACACTCAGTGTTGAAAATCCCAGCCAGTTTTACCCATTGTGAAGGTCAGCCTTATCTTAACACCATCCCACAATCTATTTCGAGTTCAAGCAAGTTGCCCACAGCTTGTTTCCAGTGTCACATGCGGACCTTTACTAGAGCCTTGTGGTTATTCCCACAGGACTTATTTCTGAAGGTATCACAGGCAGAGATTGGGGCTCTTGGTAATGACATTCCCTAGCACAGGACTCGGCTAGTACTTAGAACCTCAAGCTTAGTTCAAATGAATGAGTTGAACCTTGAATGTTAAGAATATTAGTAGTTTTATGGCAATAAGAGCGGAGTCAATAATAGCTCAAGGACTGATTTTATTTTATTTTTATTTTTAAAAATTTATCTTTATTGTTGAGAGTATTATAGATGTCCCCCTTTATGCATAGTGAGCATTCAATAATCATCATTTAAATAAATGAAGAAATAATTCCAGTGAAAATCCAAAGTGTTATTGTACAGACTTCTTGAAAACTGGCTTTACAAAGATCAGAAATCAAGGAAAAACAGTGATGTGTATTATGTGCTAAATATTATTTGTGAGCCTTCCTTTTCTGGAAATACAGTTAGAAGTGAAATTATGGTTCACTGCATACATAAAACTAATACTAGTAAGGAAATAATGCCCACTTTTTTTGTGCTGTGAAGACTAATGAAACAGATTTGAAATGTTTGCTTTTATGAAAATTCTTTCTCTTTTCCCCCTTTGCTTTAATAAATATCATTCAAATTTTTAGATATTCTAAATTCCTGGAAACAGAGTGAGGGGCATTTTAAAACACAAGTTTTGTTAGGCCATGACTGATAATAGTAATTATTATTTTCCAAAACTATACAACAGAAGCACTAGCACTGAGGTCAGGGGCACCTTTCTCCTCTCCTATCCCAGAGCTGAGTGTGCTCTTTACACAGAACATACTTGAATTGAATGAAGTTGAGACCTGTAGGAGAACCAATACGAAAAGAGTGTGTGTCAACACGGGCATGTTTGCACACACAGTGTTAGATTAATTTAAAGATGTTCACATTATAGTAAAAATAAAATACTAATGTTCATAGAAGGGACATAAATGGAAACATCAAATGACTATTCTATTGTGCGTAAGATCTTGTGGAAGATATTAAGAACCAGGAAATTATTTACAAATTTTTACATTAGGAAAAATGACTTAGGTGTAGGAAAAGTTAAATAACCATTAAGGACAAGTAGATCAATACATGAAAGAGTTAACTACTGGGTTGCGATCTATTTATTTGCCGCCCAGCATCAACTTTCCCTCTGACAGCACCCCAGTTTCCTGACGAGGGGTGTTTTCTCTGCGTTGGTGAGGTGGTAGGTCTGGATGCTCCCATTTCCACTGCAGGACGACATGGTGATTTCTGCTGGATCTTTTCTCCACGGCTCACAGCTCAATAATTGGTCATCTCGGCCAGTCACACCTCTCCCCTGAAACACTGAGACTAAATTGTAAAAACGAGGGAGTTAAAATGCTGACGACGGAGGCATCCTGTTATGGGCCCAGCGACCCAGGGCTGCGTGCTCGGTTCGGTCCAAGACCCCCGGATTGATCTCCTCTCCTTCCAGTAGCAGCTGCAATCCTAAAAATTAGGCAGAGTTGCTTGTTTTTATCTTTAGACAGCTCTCTTTAGTCTATGGAAAATCTCAACTAAAGCAACAGCTAAGCAGTCATAAGTGCGAGTGGTGATGAGAGGCAGGAGAGAGAGCCCGGTGGGCCTTGAAGGGCGCTGAGAAGTCGGCCGTGGCATGTGAGGAAGGGCACCCGGCGGCGAGAAAGCCTGGCACCAAATACTGGAAGCTGAGAAATGTGTTGGATTTGGGGAGAGGGGATAGAAATACATAATTTCATGTTATAAATGTGAGGGTGAAAAAGTAGACTGAGAATGTATTTTTAAAATCTTGAGGCTGGCTTTTTAAAAATAGTGTAGATACTGTGCATTTGAAGGTGCCGCATCCAGGTTAGACTGGCAGAGAGGGGCCCTACTTTGGAAGAGAAACAGTCTAAGTACAGAGTAATGAAAAGTATAATCCTTCATTCATGTTTTGGCCTTTGCCTTGCTTTTAAGATTTTAGTTACAAATTATAGGTAACTAAGTACATAAAATTTACATAATCTAAAAATTGATATTACAAGTCTCTAAATCCCAAATATATCAACAAGAAAGTTACATATTTTCCCAGGATATGGAATAGCAGAAAGGAAAAGATATCCAAGAATTTTTTAATGATTGATTTTTGAGATCTCTTAATAAAATTTGGTTATAATAAAAATTAAGGCAAGAAACAAGTCACAGAATTACAAAATCTATTTATAAAGAGGTAGATTTTCCATAATTAAAGGAGACATTGAGCCCTGGCTGGTGCGGCTCAGTTGATTGAGCTTCTAATGACATTAAGGGATATTTTAAAAAATTAACAGGGAATTATTAGAATTATTTAGGGACTATAGAAGAAAATACTTGTACACAAGGTTTATTTCTCAACTTTAAATGGGAAATATATGTAGATGTGAATTTACCCATTTAACCAAACTTTTATAAGGAACTTCGGACTTGTTGTTTACTTGTGACTTTCAGTAGCAATTATTTGCCATGTAATATTATTTATACCCAGCCCCCGTGGTCCCCTGTCTTCCATCCGTCATCTACCTGGACTGTCCATGGCACCAGGGGCTTATGGTTGTATCTCCGCAGTGATTTACTCATGTAACACTGTCACCTATAGCTTTTTACACTCATTTGTGTTTGTTTATGTCATTAGGAAAATACTAAGACAGAAGTGTAGCCTTGTTCCTTCCTCCCAATGCCCGGTGCTGTAAACTGTGGTCCACCCCAGGATGCTTCTGACCATATAACTCCATTAAATGGATAAAGCCTTAGCCTGACATTGAAAGTGTTTCCACTGTGTGTGGAAGGCCATTTGTCAAAACTGACCTTATATGTAAAGCAGTTACAATTATTTGTTGATTCAAGTGTCAAAGCCCCATCCTAAGGGAGTCAGCTGGGAAATTTTTTCTCATTTGATAATATAGCTCTTTCAGGAGGAGTTATAGATGGATTTGATGTTTCCAACTAAGGTTGAAAACAGTCAGAAGTGCACCCAGAGCATCTTAGAAGGTCACCTTTGCTGGACTGAGTCACAGATCACAATCTTGGTTTCCTTGTAGACTGTTCCTAAAGTTACAGCTCTCGGAGCAGGGTCTTGTCTTCATCTATCTTGTTTTAACACTAACACAAGTAAGGCTCAGCAGAAGCTTTAGAAAATAAACAAACTTCCTCTGTATGGTACATTCTTTTATAGGGTCTATGTATAAATAAGCAGTAGATGGGGATGGAAGCTTTGTATTTTAAAAACTTAGATGATTTAGCATAAATACATGATTCATGACGATACGTAGTTGATTATAAAGGGAGTCCCACAGGCTTGTAAACACAAGGTAGCTGTAATCATACAAAATAGCTGTTGAAGGAAAACACAAAGGAAGCATTTCCAATTGAAAATAGTATAAAAATAACCCGCTCTAGGACCACAGGTATGACAGTGGGGAAATACGCTGAAATGAGAAGATATGAGCCGTGCAGGAGACGTGCCTGTTTATGACGCGTGTGCCTACGTGACGGCACCGAGTGCCATAGGAATTAGTAACTTGGCGGGAGTATTTGTGTATGGAAATCGTATTTAGATCCAGTTCTCTCCCACCAGGCTTTTATTAACCTTAAAAATCACCCCCCCCACCGTATATACCCGTGTGTGTGTGTGTGTGTGTGTGTGTGTGTAGGTACGTGTATTGCTTTGAATGTTACTGTGGAACCATGGAAATTACCATGAAAACTGACATTGTACAAAGTGACCTTATTAACCAATGGACAAAATTTTGGTTTTTCCATAACCTTTATGACCTTTGATCTAAATATTAAATATTCCCTTACCGGCATTTTTATGTGAAGCGAAATGAAAAGTAGTTAAGACTAATATTTACTTAGTACACTGTAACTTGACACATTGGAATCATTGAGAATTAATTTGTTTTGTTTTGTTTTGTTTTGTTTGTTTTTTAGCCAAAAAACTACAATGGATAGTGACTGTTACGGAGACAGTGACGTTCATCTCTTCGCATGAGGGAGCTGGTGGATCTTCGGTAAGTGCGGGTCAGGGAAGTCTCTGATACATTCTTTTATAGGATCTATGCATAAGTAAGCCGTAGGCAGAAGGCATGGGACACGCCGAGGCCCTGCACCCTGCAGTCTGTGCCACTGCTCTGCCTTTGGGACGTCTTTGTCCCGTTCGCCGCCAACCCCTCGTGGGTGTGGACGAGTTCACGTTCACTGATCCTCCGGCTGCGCATCCGGGGCTCCGGGGTCTGCGGCACAGCAGCTCTGCCGCCCGCCCGCAGCCCCGGCCGCCGGGCTCATTCGCACTTGATTCTAATCGGGATCCTAGTGTTTTTTGTTTCTTCGCTGCACTTTCATCTCTGTTAGTCAGTTTCTCCTTGAATGATGCACTTTTGTAAAAATGTGACCTTGGTTTGTCCCTGGGAGACAAGGCGACGACACGGCTACCTGCCTCCCTGTCTGCGGAGAGCTGGTTCCCAAGCCCGATGAATCCCCTGTGACCCGGGAGGCACCTGACGGGTGGACACTGGCCGTGGTGCACGCCTGTCGTTTACCCGGGGCCTGCGTACTGGGCGCGAGCGGCGAAGCATGTACTTGACGCAGGTCCTCTTAGTTGGGTCACGTGCTGACTGAGGTGAGCTGCGGGGAGTGGTGGCATCTCACTAACCAGTTGTTCAAGAGCACTGGGTCAGGCGAGCAGAGACAGCTTGCATGCGTGTGCGCGCGCGTGTGTGCGCCTGTGCGTGTGTACACGGCGTTGTACGCTCTGTTGTACTCGGTGTAAACATGGTTTTGCTGTCGTGTACACCTGACATGCTCTCTCTCGCTTAGGATGTGAACTAAACGTCAGCATAACTGTTTCATCAGGTAACTGGAGACACCCCTGAAGAAAATTTGAAATGTTAGCACTGCATGAGCTGTCGTTCTGTGGTGATCTTAGGGCTTTCTTTTTCTGTAACAGTCTGAAGATATTTTGTGCTTTCTTTCCCGAGGCCTCGCCTGGACTGGAGAAGGTGGGAGGGTGGGGCTGGGGCACAGGAGTTGTTGCTCCTCTCAGTTATAAAAGTCCCAGATTTTTATTTATTGAGATACTATTGACCTGTATCACTGTGTAAGTTGAAGGTGTCCATGTGTTGCTTTGAGAAATTCATTTATTGCACTATGGTACCATCACAGTGTGAGCTAGTACCTCGGTCACGTCACATAATTATCATTTCTGTGCTGACGATATTAAGTCTCTCGGCAGTTTTGAAGTAGATGACACAGTATTGACTCTAATCTCTGTGTGTGTGTTAGCTCTTGGCGACTTACTCTGCTGCAAATTCTGGCATCTCCCCAGGCCCAGGCCCAGGCCCAGGCCCAGGCCCAGCCCTGGCAATGACTGTTCTACTCTCTTTTTACCAGTTTGTCCTGAAAAGCCTCAAATTAGGCTATAATTTTATATTTAAATGACCATAAAAATACAGTTAGAATACCTACTGACAAGATTTAGAAGATATTTCTATCACTCCTAAATTATTAAGCACGTTCCCTAAGTTTTCAGATACTCAGAAAAGGAGAACCTAGGGCTTTACTCTGGAAGCGTCTGTTGGCCAGCCCTCACCGCCTGATAGACTTTCCTTCCGCGCTGGGGGAGGTCCTGGGCCCGTGAGGACAGACCTGTCCTTTCTCAGATCAGAACACGAGGAATCAGAGGAAAGGAACGAGTGGAAGGAGGGCCTGCTTCTCTCAGATAACTGGCGCAGCGCAGGTGTCTCAGCGAGGCCTGCAGTCTGGCTCGCGCACTTCCATGTCTATTACCTGACCTCATTCCCACAGCACGGCCCTCTGAAGTTGGCTGGCGGGAATTAGGTCACCGTACCTATAAAAACAGTCTTAAATCAGTTGACTATCTTTCCCGAGGTGACACGGGAGCCCTCGTCTCCTCACCTGGAGCCAGGGCTGTCTCTGTTACCTGCCTGTGGCCATGTGACTGCAAATGGAACAGCTTTCCCACCTGGGTGTGGAGCCTCATTCACAGAAACAGCTGAATGAAGCCCCAAGAGATCCCCCTGCACAGGCCTTTGGCAACCTTGATCTCCTTGTGCAAAGGTGTGCGGGCCTTGTTCCTCTAATCTGCACAATAGGACTCGCTAGAGCTATTAATTCAGGGTCAGGCAGGAAGCTTTCCATGCCACGTGCAGAGTGGAAATGGTTACGGGGTTACTTGGGAACGCAGGCTGTGGATGCTTTGCCTGGGGACTGGCCCAGCTCCTGTCTCCCTGCACTTCGGCCGCTGCCTAACCGGCCCGGTAACGACTTCATCAGTTGCTCGCCTCTCCACAGGCCTTCTAAACACGACTTTATTATGTCCCGTGCACATATTCATAATTTATTTTCTACCCAAATATTTGTTATCTAGGCGAGGGGGTTAAAGATCTATTAATACAAATTACATAAACATATAAATGAGTTAAACGTGAAGCCAGTTGGGAGAAGGGCACTCATTCGTAGTTCAAGATCCTGAGCTCGCTCGCGCTCTGCTCGGTGTGTACAACAGGAGGGTGCTTAGATAGAGTGATGGGGGCCTTTCAAAGCAGTCAGAACTTGTGTGTAAGAATACACCTGCCGTTTCTTCACTGCCTCTTTCATGCTTAACTTCCCCATCTACGAGCTTTAAAGATGGCTGAAATTTTCATGCAGAGATTGTGTGTCCACAGCACATTTGACATGATAGATGCATCATAAAACACCTTTGAATCTTTTGTGTCAAGTGTGGTGCATCAAGAGTGGTAAGTTTAATGGGGTAAATGCTTGCAAGTACGTTAGTGGGATTAAAACATTTATATTCAGAATGCTAGTAATGTAATATCTTACATAGACATTTTCCTCCAGCACATGCAATCAATAATCGATTTTCCCTTTGCCTTTTATGGTTATAAAATATCAGATAATTTATTTTTCTTCTGTAAATAGTAATTAATTTTTAATAACTCCATAATAATTTGTTTCATTTTTTTATAAAACAATCAAATTATTGAGTCACCATGAAAAAATGACTTCATTTAAATTTATCTGAAACTTAAGCTTATAGAATTGTAATTTATGAAAGAGTCCAGTGGGATGATCTACATTTAACAGCCTGAGATTCTACTTGGAGTTATCTGTGTGTCACAAGCAATTTGTTCAGGGTGAACAGCCTGAAACACACACGAGGTTCCCGTATTTCCTAGAGGCCCCCATTAATCCACCCAGCAGTCTGATGACCTTGACAGCAGCTTCCTCCTCGAAAACTGACATTGCATTGGTAAGGTTAAGTAAAATATGTAATGGGAAAACCAAAAAAAGAGGAAAATTATTATGAATCAAAGAAACCTATTGTAGGGTTTCTTATCCTCACTGACAATCTAAACCTTTGCATAATGATCATGTCAAGAACAATATCCCCTGGGAGCTGCCTGTATATTGGGCTTGACAGTTCGAGCTCGGTGTGACAAACTGAGATAGAGGTTTTACATCTGAAATGGGCTTTTAAAAATGAGATTATTCTGCATTATGATCTTCAGAGCTGTACTTGACTTCCTGCCACCACGGCTTCATCACCATATGAAGACGCCTGAAATAGGCTGTGTAATAGTGTGGTGCCAAGTTGGTGAGATGACTTAGATAATAATACAACTTCAATTTGAAGGAGAAATGACTCATTTATTTTTGGTACAGTTCTAAGTAATTTCTGTTTTAGAGAATTACATTTATGACTTCAACAGATTTGCAAATATATTTAAACGTGTTTAATACATTAAGGAAGACCACAAAATGATTAGTGCCTCTCCTTGGTAATCCTCCCCGCACCCCTGAAATCTCTTGACTCCCACAGACACCCTCATCTGTGTCAGAGCTCTGTGCCTGGGTTGGTGTTTCTTCAGGTAGATTTCAGGAGAACTGTTCCTGAACCTCTTTAAGGGACCAGACTATTTTCTGGTATTTGGCACTAGCTTCCTCTAGCTTTCTTTTCCTTGGCAAACAGTCTACTATCCATCTTGATGGCCATTGAGAAGATGCACCTGGGGGACTGTACGTTGTCTACCCACAGCAGTTATTCTGTCAGTGGCGGTTGCCTTCCTGGTCCAAAGTCATCCACTCAGGAAGAGTTGGTCAGTGACATCGCTATGGGCTTATTCTGATGGCACTTGAGTACGACATTAGTCCTCATGCAACCTGAGCCGCTGTGGAGAGCAATCGAAGAAATGATTCTGCCTTTTATACGGGTAAAGCCTCTTGCTTCCACCTTTTTGCTGGACTCCAGGACAGGGGCCTGAGGCTCAGCCCCATGTGCAGTCACAGCCTCACCTTTCCCTCCACTCTTTCACCAGCTCAGCTCTACACATCTTGAATTTTTCCCAAACTTTGACCCAGGAAACTGGCAGGGATGACTGGCTACTGTCCGGAGGAGACAAACAGGTGGACACCAGCCTGCCTGGGGCACAGGCAGAGAGTTCGGTTGCCTCTGCTTCCAGTGTATCTGGGATTATGGTGTTGACTGGGAGACCTGATGAAGCTTCTCGCGCGCAGGCCTGTCCCTCACGCCACTTCTACAGACTCAGCGTGAGGGCAGGCGTGGCAGATTGCACTACCTGTGAGAGTTCACGCAGAACGTTCAGGAACTTCCATGGGCTGACTCCAGTTATGTTATGACCAAAGATAGCCTCTTGTTTTCAATACGCAGTGGGCTTAAGAGCCACAATCTGGTGGAAGCACGAGCGAGGGGCCTGGTTTTGAAGTGGTTTGCACACCAGTCTCCCTGTGATGTTTAGGTTGTATATCTCCTTGGCATATGGGTATGAAGTTAGAACTTGCATATCAAGTTGCCTCTTGGTGTGATCAGGTGCCTACATTGCTGTACATCGTGTCGGTCTGGTTCTCACAGTGAAATGATTGAGGTGTTGCTTGTTTATTTATGGAGATCTCCATGGTGAACGCTGGTGCTGTCCCTTACTCTCTGCTGTTT